GTCCCCGCTGTTATGATTTGACGGTTCTCCGTTTTCTCCGCAGTTTTCAGCGTCATCCGTCGGTTTGATGCTTTCTCCGTTGTTTGGCTCCACGTGTGTTTCTCCACGGAGCGTCTCTGAGAGCTGAATGGAGCTCCGCTCGTTCCCAGTCAGGTCCCGATGGAGTTGAGTGTAGTTTCCAGCGGTTGCGTGGCTCAACTTGGCACTTAGAGCTTCCGCGTGCTCAAGTTGTCGGAGCGTTGACAAGCGTGTCCTTACCGCCAGGTATCCTGGGCAAAAGAACGAGGATTCTTTGTCTCTGCTGAAGATTTATGGTCTTAGTTCGCGGGAAAAGCTCCACGGCTTCCCGCACATGCGCAGAACGTGTTTCTGGTACTAGGCGGTGACGTCATCACAATGCTTCCGTGTGCAAAGCATCATGGGAAATGAAGTTTCTTGGCGCTGATGTGATTATTTGCTTTTCAGAGCAATTTAAGCACAGTCATTTTGGAGAAAATCACTGCATAGTAATTTCCTCATGAGGTCAGACCCTCAACATTTCCTATAACTCCAAAAGCCAAAGAAATCCATTATAGAGTTTTAAATGACGTATACCCATCTGGGGAATTCTTACGACAGAGATGTGGTTTTGAAACAAATAAGTGTGTATTTTGTGATGATATAGAAACCTCTGTTCATTTATTTTTTCAATGCATCTACTCTGAAGCTCTCTGGACTGATATACATGACTGGCTATACACAAAGATGCGTATTGAACCCTTGTCGGAGAACGATGTCATTTATGGAGCCATATTAGATAATACTGAGTGGGACTTTCTGGTAAATAACATAATCATTGTTGCTAAATTTTATATTCACAAATGTAGATATGGAAAGGTGAAACCTAGATTCTATGCATTTCATAACGAGTGTCTTTCTTTCTCCAAAGCCCTTAAATTTATGAAAAGTAAACATGCAATGAAACTCCTTAATCTTTTTGAAAAGTATGATTTGAAAACAAAGCCCTAGCTCTGTCTCTTTTTTTTTTTTGTTTTTGTTTGTTTAATTTATTTATTTATCTTTTGTTAGATTGTTTCCTTCACAAATATTCTTGCTCTCTACGCAAAATCTCTTTTGTTATCCTTTTTTGCACCTGATCCCAGGTAATGTAAAACAAAGGAATTTATGCCATGTTGTTTGTAAATGAAAAAGTTCAATAAAAAAAAAATGGAGGAGCGTCCATATCATTCGTGGGGGAAGTTTATAGATTTTTATTTTGATATTGGCTTAACATACAAAGACATTAAATTCGTTCTTGGCTGCAGACATGGCGTTGATATAAGTGAGAGACAATTGAAAAGAATTCTCAGTGCGAGGGGACTTTCTCGTCGTGAAAGTTACTGTGATATTGCGGACTTGGTTGAATTCATTAGTAACGAGCTACAGTACTTTGGCCAGCTTCACGGGTACCGCTGGATGTACGCCAAGTGTCGAGAACATGGATTACGAGCAAAGAAGGAAGATGTGAGGCTGGTGTTGAAGGAGCTAGATCCGAGAGGAGTGTCAATGAGGCAAGCAAGACGACGACGGAACTATTTTTCAAAAGGCCCGAACTTCATATGGCACATTGACAGCTATGACAAACTGAAGCCATATGGCTTTTGCATCAACGGATGTATCGATGGGTTTTCCCGAAAAATAATCTGGTTTAATGCCTATATAACGAGTAGTGACCCAAAGTTGATCGGGGGTTATTACGTTGATGCGGTCCAACGTTTAGAGGGATGCCCTAGGATTGTGAGAGGCGATCTCGGGACAGAAAACGGCCATGTCAGAGGCTTTCAGCGGTTCCTTGTCCCCATTAATCTAGACGGCTCTGTCGACAGCTACCTGGAGGGAGCAAGCACCGCCAATCAACGGATTGAGTATTGGTGGGGGTTTCTGCGCAACCAGTGTGTGGAATTCTGGATGTCTCTGTTTGCAGACATGAGAGACAATGGATTTTTTGACGGCGGTTATCTGGACAAGGCTATTCTTCAGTTTTGTTGCATGGGACTCATCCAGGTGAGTGAGTGAGTGAGTGAGAGAGAGAGAGAGAGAGAGAGAGAGAGAGAGAGAGAGAGAGAGAGAGAGAGAGAGAGAGAGAGAGAGAGAGAGAGAAGGAGCTAGAGAAAGGGATGAATAATAGAATGGAGCAGAGACAGAATGTGAGGAAGGATGAAGGGAGGAGGGAAGGATGAAGGGAGGAGAGGGAAGGATGGAGGGAGGGAAGGAAGGATGAGGGAGAGGAGGGAGGAAGGATGGAGGGAGAGGAGATAAAATACAGAGGGAGGAGAGAGAACATTTTTGCATTTTTAAAGTGTATATGAATGTGCAGTTTTTCCTAATTCTATTTGTTTATTCTTTTTAACAGGATGAGTTAGATGACACTGTCCAGGTTTGGAATGCACACGTCATCAGACCATCAAGGAACATCCATGTCCCAAGTGGTCGGCCCAATGTGATGTATGCATTGCCTCAGCTCAATGGGACCAGAGGCTTTCTTTCCCCTGTTGAAGATGAACATCTTCAGCTGTGCAAAGATGAATGCGTCTTTCGCCGGCCGATACCATGCGATCAAGATGTTTATGAACTATGCAACATCTTCATTGCGGAGTCCCATCTGACCTTGCCATCAGATCCCTATCAGGCTATGACTTTGTATAGGCACCTAAGAGAGGCCATCACTGCATCTTTGTGATTCAGGGATATTTCTTTATGCCCTGTATGGGAACAATAAAGTACCCACTATTTGATAGATAGTTGATTTATCATTTTAATTTTTCTTCTAAAAAATTCAAAAAATATTTTGCATTTCCCACTATAGGTTCATCTATTTCTCAAAACATGTTCATATATTGCAGTAGTTGACAGTGAAGATACAGTATGTGCAGATGAACAAACTCTGTAGCCAAGCTTGTGATGTCAGAGTGTAGCAGAAAATTTATTATTCTGTATGAACTGTAAAAAAACATGTGAAATCTGCTACCTTGAACTTGGCCATATCTGACTGGTTTGTCAATAAAAAACAAGTGATATAAAAATTTACACTGCAGTACTTATAGGTCACGTAATGACAAAATGCACTCACATTCAATAAAAATGTATGTGGTGGCATTAAGTTCCACTAGTAAATTAATGTAATGGAAATATTACAATCTTTCTGAAGGCCATCTCACACAGGCAACCGCAGCTTATACAGAACATTTTGTTAACAGGAACACTCATCTCTACAGTGAGTATCAAACTTTTTCTGAATAAGGAACATTCTGGTGTGAATTTCAATTGATATTCCACCTTTATGTAGAATTTTATCTTTAGTTATATTTCAGAAAAAAAAAACCTTGCCCTGTCATTCCCCTCATCTGGCTGCAGCCAGTTTGCTTTGGTTACACATTAAAACAAAGTAAATGGGAACAACGAGCATTTTGCTGGTTATATTCCCCTACATTGTTTTATGCTAAATTAGCGCAAACTGGCTGCTGCCAGATGGGAAGAATGACAGGTCAGGTTACTAAATGTTTTTTCCTAACTTTTCAAACTCAGGGGAATATGACAAAAGATAAAATTCTAAATAAAGGTGGAATATCCATTTGACATTAGCATTACACTAATGTTCTTTAAGGAACAAGTTCAGCAATGAAGCTGGGTTATACTCAAACTGGTGGAAATAAAAGCTGCAGTCATTTTCAAAGTATATTTCAAAACAAAATTACTGTAAAAACTATGGAGGTGTCCTATTACACCAATGAAAAAATCAAATTGCAAGCTAATATAAATTTAAATGAACAACTGCTTACTCCAATTTTCAGTGCATCAAGTTGTTTAAATTATAACAAAAAATAAATAAAATCAACCATACAATAAGGCCTATTACTATGTGGCCTTTTCAACATCACGTGCAAGTTCAAATAATGTCCATATCTAAGTAGTTGCTGGACAGGATATTGTCAAATTCTGTGCGGAATTCTGGGTAAGAACTGTATGTACATGGTACATCAAGTGTAGCTCCACAGGTGTGAGCAACAGGCCTTCTGTTGAGGCCAGTTTCTGCATTAAAGCTAACCATAATTTTCTCAACACAAATAACTGAGGAACCTGTGCAGAAACGCAGGATTTTCTCAGCTTTGGCTTGATCAGCATTTTTCACATAACGCTGGAGATGGTAAAAGGTTGCTTGTTCTCTCTGAGACAGCACCACCTTTGTTGTTTCAAACAGTTGCATCACTCTTTTGCCTGTGGGCTTCTTTAACTCATACAGATTTAACACACTGTCCTTATCTGGTAGTTTCAGCTTTACATGTGACATGGGAGTGGAGAAGCAATCAACTATATACTTCGGCTCTTGGAGAATGGCTTTGTGGGCCATCATTTCTATGGCAGACTTCATGCCATTCTGTGGAGGTAAGGAATGAGAACCCATCCGTGTGAAAAGGTCCATCAAGTCCTCTTGATCACTTTCTTCCATTGTGCCCTGGAGAGCCTTCTCAACAGCTGATCTTTCGATAGGAGGCAGGTAGTTGAGAAACGATGACATCAAGGTCTCTGTATCAACGTAGTCAATTCCGTTGATGCATGCTAAAATGAAAGCCAGGGAAAGCTTCACTGGCATTACACCATGATCGAGAAATCCTTTTACCCAAATGCGTCCAACCGCTTGCCATTCAGCCTCAGAGAAATCTGGCCTCAGCCTTGGAACTCGCTCCATTTCCCCCTCACACTGTTCAAGAACTTGCTCCCAGAAGGCTGTGTACACCTCCCTAGACACACCAGCATCATCAACGGCTTTTTCGTTTACAAAATCCATCTTTAAAGTCACATTCATGATGCTGCTGTCGGTAAATACAGCCAAAAGATCATCGACAACCTTTATCCTGCAAATTGAAGCACGCCGCATGGTCTGTGGATTTCCTGCGATGCTGGACGATGTTGTTGAAGAAATCTGGCTGCTTGAATCCGATGGTAAATTCAGCTCACTGTCCAGCTGGAAGAACAAAATACATAAAAAACAGAGCGAGTGACTAATGAGTAAAGCAGAAGCCAAAGTAGCCCTTACCATGTTTGTGCCAAGGTTGAAGTAGCTTTGGGTCCTATGTTTCACATAAAAAGAAAACCCAAGCATATTTTATATGATGTCACAAACCCCCTCGTCAAACTGCTTTCTATTCAAAATGTGTGATCTCTTACCCCAGTACAAGATAACCTTGAGAACATCAAAGTTAAAATGGTGTGTCTTACCTGAGCAGTTTGCGCTGCCTCCTCACGTATGAATAGCTGCTCATCCAGTCCAGTTAGGCCATCGCCTGAAGGTGCTAGAAGCTGTATAACCTGTGTAGGGGCTCCACTCACCTCAGCAATCTGAAAAATATAATACATCCCAGAAGAAACATTAAAGCATAAATATATGATGTCATTGCTGACCTTTTTTATAGGTCTTTCTAAATTACTCTTCTTCAGTGTAACTTCTAGAAAAAAAAATCAGAAATTCTCCACATACCATGTAAAAACTCACTTAGGTTTTGAGAAATGAAAACACTCTTACATTTTAGAGACATAACATTATAATAAATTCATAAGTCAGAGTTACAATTTCTGCATAATCCCAGGAATTAGATCAAAAGGCCCTAACTGAATTCCACTTTCACTAAAGATAATTATTTGTTTTCAGTACAAGTTGATCATGACACACCAGTAAATATTTGAAATGAAAGTTCATGAAGAATATTTTCAAACAGAAAATCTTTCATACCTGTATGACATCATCTCCCTCAAAATGGTTAAAATTTACAACCACCACACCATCGTCATCGGAATCCCACACAAGTGTATCGGCCTCTTCAAACGGGGGCTTCGGTAAACTAAGCTCACTTCTGTTTTGTCTTTGTCCAATGTTACTACTTGTAATGTCTGTTGGGGTTGACTGAAAGGGATGTGGTGGACCTGGGCTTTGTGCTGTCTCCGTCTCAAGTATTTCCCTTCTCTTTTTTGATCTTGTTTGCATCTGAAAACACAGCAAAGACAGTAGGCTTTAATGTAGTATGCAGTAATATTAGAACATATTCCACATTTATTATAACATGCTGTGTAAGATTACACATTAAAACACAGTATATTAAACGTTATAATCCCTACTGACATATGAGTTTGACTTTTCTCTTTATTTTATCAGTGCCTGGTGCTTTAAGACCCATGACAAAAAGACATGCTGCACAGAGAAAACAATGAAGGTAAATTAATGTGCTGTTCCTCAAAACTTTAAATATTTACAATATATCATCCAACAACTCCAAAAGACTGAATAGAGAAGTTGTGACCTGTGCATTCACCACAGAATGAAATAATGAACATTACCCGAGTGTTTTTCGTGCCAAAAATAAAGCTGGAACATCATTTCAGACATCGCGCTGTAATGAGTGATTTCAAACAGCGCATGTTTAGTTCACCTCCATTGTGTTCACTGTGCAACACACACATCACCTCGAGAAATTAACAGGCACTGATAATTAAATGGAATTTACCTACGGTGCTCATATGACTATGGGGATTACAGAAATAGGCTAATTTAACAAATGCTGAACTATTGCTTAAGAATAACGCACATCTCGGCAATCATTTTTAGATTGTCCTGCATCTTGTCTCAGTCTCTATAATGCAATGGCAGAAAAACGTATATTAATGATATAATTGTGAGAAAGGTGTGTACCACAGACAGTCATACAACAATAATGCAAAACATAAAGCCTTGTTAGTATGTTGCAAGTCCGAGCAATCGGTCAAGGCTTAGAAACAGTGGTCAGAGACAAGGGTCACACAAGGGTCAAGAGGACAATAGTTCAGGACTTGCTGGTGAGAACAGAACTAGGCAAAGGGTCAAAAGACAGGCTGTCTTCTCTGGATCCACCCATGGACACACCCCTGGGCCCGCCCCTAACTCCACCTCTGGCGGGAAAAGAAGGACTGGCATGGAGTGAGGAAAGTCCAACTGGACCCAGAAGCTCTCAGGAATGCTGGAGGAAGATCTACAATTTGCTACCAACATGAAGATTTATGACCTGTGCTCTCATTCCAGGAGTGCAGCATGTAACTTTTGTGCCCTCATGTGAATACTGCATGTAGTGAAAATGATACCAAATGTCTTATGTAGAGCTAAAAAAGTGTATTTGGTAAATGACCCCTTGACCTAAACTGTCAGGAGAGAATGACTTGTGACTCTTACATTGTTTAGAGCAGTCTCAGAAATGATATAAAAGGATGCAGCTCAGATCGAGGAGGGCTTCGTGCTTGGGGAGATTCTGAGAAGACAAGAGCTAGTGTAAACTAACTCTTATTTAATCATTTTGAACTAATTCCTCCGTGGGGGATAGCAGTTGTTTTTCACTTTACCCATTTTTTGTATTTTGATTTTGTAATAAAACTTTTTTGAAAAAGAAACATAATCCTGATTCTTTCAGGTTTTCTCTAAAGCTTCACGTTTGGGGCCCTGGCCATAATTGCACAGAAGTAAGCATGTCGAAGATCGGTCTCTGAATTATCAGGACTTACTTTACAGTTTATAACAGAATAATATAAAGAAACCTTAAGATAAGGGAAGTTTTAACTTTCCCCTCCTTGCGAGTAACGAGTTGTCTTAAGGGCGATAAAAGCAAAATATTCGAGGTTATTTTGGCTCTGATTGCAGGTTGAAAAAGTCTCTAATCAGCTGGAAGGTTGGATTAATAAATAAATTGATAAAATTATGATAGCCTGATCAACTAGCATAAATCATTTTATAGTTACCAACCTCCCACATAAGCTGTTAGAGGCGCAATTAATTCCGGGTAATCCAAACAATTGCTGAGAGGCTTGGCTTGCCTCCAGACTTCTCTCTAGTATCTTAACCAAAAGGTAACGAGTTTAAAAGAAGTGTAATACTCTGGGGCTGGCTATTCGTGCAAGTCATTTCACCTTTAAAATAAAAGGCAAGATTCTAATTAGGTAGTCCAAACCCGGATCTAGTACGATTATACTCGTCGATACACCCCCGAACCCTGATGGATGCACCGTCTCATAAGTTCTAACGGAACTGGGTTTTAAAGGAACCGGTAAATGGGACGGGCACGCGACATGGCGCCTGCAACGTGGGGCTAATCGGCGAAGGTTCAAATATTAGATACCGGACTATTCGACGTAGAACTATGTCTTTTAGGCTGATAAAAGCTTACGCACCATGGACCTGATACGCTTATAACCTTGGAGTGAAAACCGCACCAATTTCTCGAAAAGGAAAGAAATTTGGGAGAACGGAAGATTAACTCAAAGAGGTATAAAGAAATCACGGCTTTCCGACGTAAGAAAAGCCAAGGATAAAAGCTAGGCAAAAAATAAAAAGGAATAAAGAGTAAGAATAAAGAATAAGACGTGAAAACGAATAAAAATAAAACAAATAATAAAAAAGAGAAACTTTCAACCAGCCATGGCAGATAGATCTTTAACGGTGAAACCGGAAAATGTTCTCCTTAATGTGAGATTTGTCACCGGAGAAATAGCGACATTTCAAGGTGAACCACAAAGCGTTTTAGCAGTATCCTGTAACCGGAGCTTTCAGAACGAGGCCGGAACGGCTCAAGCCGCAGCGGAGCGCTGTCCGAATGCTGAAACTCAAGTAAAGAATAATCATGTATTTCCGTTAGTGGGTGATTTGGTGATTCTAGCAGAACAACAAAATGATCCTGTTTTTAATCAGATAGCGTGGTGTTGTTGGGAAAATCCAGCGAAACTCCCCACGGGTGAGCAATATGAGATCCTTCTGGGATTGCTTGAGCAAATACCAACTGGACCGGAACCTTTAGTTCTCACTCCATTTGGAGTCGGGCAGTACCGATGTGATCAGGGAGCGATGTACTCTGCTATGGCGGAGTTCGTGGTTCAACGGGCTAATAGTAGAACAATTTACTTCTTATCTAGAAGCAAAAATTAGGCAATTCAAATGAGACAGGCGTTATGTAACCGACTGGGGATCACGGAGCTCCAAGCGGAAATGTACCGGAGAAGAGCTGCAGTCGAAATGTCGGCCTCCTGGGATGGAGTCCAATCGGTTCCGACCGCGCCCCCTTTGTATCCGCGGGGAATTCCCTGTGAGCCCCGGTTCCGAGAGCGGATTTCCTCCACCCCCACCGAACCCGCCTGACGCGGTTCGGCCGGCGCAGTGGAACCCGTTTCTACATGTACAAACCCCTTCTCAGGTGCCCATGAGAGGAGCGGAGAGACCGCCCACTGAACAGCATGTTGCTGCATGGGACAAAGACGAGACTCAGAGACGGTCAGGGGCTGAAAGGACTCCAAACCCAATTCCTTTTCCCCCGTTAGAACCGCATAGTCCCGCGGCTCCTCCGAATCATGTTACGATAGGTCAAGAACCGGTGATAATTTTGTCAGGCGAGAAAATAGATGCGGAGATCCGAGAAGAAGATGTGTTGATCTTTCTGAAAGATCCACAAAGTTCTGCCAGTACTACGTCCTCTTTAAGTTCTCTGAGGAGACTTTTAGGGGCAGAAAGCAGAAGCTCTATGATCCCGCTGGTAGATCGTAATTACGAAGCAGGAGAAATTACTACTCTCTTAGACAAGCAATTAGGGAATCTGGAAGGTCGTGTCAGCGCGATTTCCATAATTAACGTAGACCCTCATAATCCCGACATCTCTTTTCACCAAGCTTGGGAGCGGGTGGTGTCAGAAGCCTTGGATTTAGGAGCGCGACGGCTAGTGTTTAAGCTTAATAACAAACCCCAGGTGTGTCGGATAACTGAAGCATATGGCGCAGGTTTAGTGATTTATTCCGAAGCCTCTAGCAGGCTAGGAGACATCCCGGTCGTAATTTTAGTGGATAAGTCAGCCTTGCCGCGAGTAGAGAAGAAAGTCAAACATTGGTTTGAGGCCAGAGACAGAAGCAGCGAGAGTGAGGCTGAATCGGAGGAAGAACAGGGTTCCCAACTGGTGGTGCGTGGCACACCCAAAGGGACGCTCAGGTCAGAATGCGGATCCCAACAAAAATGCAGCACTCGGATCCCTGGAGGCAAAACACCTGAAAAAGTGAGTTGGTTATCCCCAGTTACAGCCCATGAGCAAGGTGAGAACAGAGAAAATGTAGAGCAGCAACCCCAGAGAGCAGAAAAAGAAGATGAGACAAATCCTATGGTTTATGGCATTAGAGGACTAAATAAGAAAAGCCGTCCAGTACAGATGAAATATTATGACTCTCAGGCACCTCCTAACATAGGCCCAGTTAGACCGGTTCCAGAACCAGGACGAGGCCAGTTTGCAATTAATACAGAGGGAGACCAGAATTATGCAGGAGAAGTAGCAGAAAATCCTTTTCCAGACTGGTACCCTGTAGATGGCTTCACGGCTTCAGCAATTCAAGCTGCAAAAAGTAGGGAAGAAGTCATGTTGCAGCCAGGATGGGGGCAACCTTTTAAGCATGCTTATTTAGGCCAAGGATATGATTTTTATCGAGGTGGATGTATGGCTAGAGATTCGGCAGTGAAAACTCACTGCTACTCGCCGTGCAGCCCCTCCCAACCTTTGGATGTAAACCGAAGCACTCCGCAGGGAGGACAGCTTAATCCAATGCCTAAAGAGAGAATCCTAGAACAGGAATATTCCCCATATTGGCAAACTGCTCAGGAACAGTCAAGAGTAAGCTTAGGACATTTTGATCATACCATTCTGCCACAAAGAGCATTGGGTGAGACAGACGCTGGTTATGTACAGAGACTTCAGGATCGAGGTATGACGATTGAACAACTTTCAAGTCCAGAAATTTCTCAGGTTATAGCATTAAAGAACGATCTGCGTTTAACCCCAGGAGCCTCGTTGATGTCCCTGGCGGAGAGTTCTCCCAGAGGGATTGGTGAGGATTCTGGTGAACGACGGAGGAAAGCTTTAAGCGCTGAAATCAGTACAGGAAAAGTTACATTAGCTGGGTGTTTGGGAACAATCGCAGGGCTTTCCCAAGTACAGCAGG